GACTAATTTCAATTAATTATTGATATGCATTAAAGTATTACATGCCAATTACTTTTATTCTTACTTCAAATACAAAATATGGTGTGCACTAATGAAAATAAAGTAATACAAGTGTGACAAAATTTGAAAATGATAGTCATTCTCTTTCCGAAGTACTAAGCTCGAATCAAGTATAACGATGATAATATCAACGTTCTACGGTTACCTATTACCTATCGTGCTGGAAAAAGCATCGGCACCGACATCGGTGAGCCTGAAGGTCGGTACACTCCGGAACAGTCATTCTGTGGGATTTCATGAATCTACCTTGCCGGTTTGAGCCCTTTTGGGCCCTTTTTTCGGGCCGCGCGTTAACACAGGCGTTGCCACTCTTTAGTAATCTCTCCTCGGTGCTAATATCATTATTTATTTAACGTTTTCTATAATATCAACTGACAACCTCTATTATCTAATGTTGATAATATACCGCATGATAAATTTCAACCATTTCAGCCGCAAAAGAGAATAGGGGTTGCGATAGGGGATGAAATTTTGGATTTATCTGCTATTTCAAATTTGTTCGATGGGCCATTGTTAAAAAACCATCAAGATGTGTTTCGTCAAGAGTATCTTAACGATTTTATGGCCCTGGGAAGACCCGCATGGGTAGAAGCGAGAAGCAAACTACAAAACTTGCTATCGGCCAATAATCCGACTTTACAGGAATCAAATACTCGTTCAAAGTAAAATGAAAACTATTTCACCTTCTCCCATTAAAAAATAAATAATAATATAAGTAGTAGTGTATAAACTGTTCAATTTTATAGAGTATTTGTGCAACAAGATGAAGCTACGATGCATCTACCAGCAAAGATCGGTGACTATACAGATTTCTATTCCTCGATTAACCACGCCACAAATGTAGGAATTATGTTTCGTGGGAAGGAAGCAGCCTTGATGCCAAATTGGTAAGCATTAATTATTTTTGACTAAGTAAATTATATTTAAAATATATTCGGTACATCTATAGGAAGCACTTGCCAGTCGCTTATCATGGAAGAGCAAGCTCAGTTGTCGTTTCCGGTACACCCATCAGAAGACCAAGAGGTCAGACCCTTCCAATAGAAGGTGCAGACCCAGTTTTTGGTCCCTCTAGATTAATGGACTTCGAATTAGAAGTCGCTTTCTTTGTTGGGGGACCTGCAACGAATTTGGGTGAGACTGTACCAGCATCGAAAGCTTACGATCACATTTTTGGACTAGTCACTATGAATGACTGGAGTGGTAAAAATTTGTATAATAAAAGAATAAAGGTAGTAATACGCGAAAGGATTATAGTGAACTGAGTAATTAATTGTAGCAAGAGATATTCAAAAGTGGGAATACGTTCCATTGGGTCCCTTCGGAGCGAAAAATTTTGGAACCACCATTTCCCCTTGGGTAATCACAATGGAGGCTTTGGAACCTTTCAAAGTACCAAACGTTCCTCAAGATCCAACACCGTTTCCCTATTTGCAGCACAGCGAATCTTGTAATTTTGACATTAGATTAGAAGTTGATATCAAACGTAAGTTTCTTTTATATGTAGATACTTTCTGCAGGGTATCCGCTGCAAAATTTACTGCAAAATACATAGAAAACACAGAAATTTAGTTAGATGATAATTGCAGTAAAGAGGGGAGAATATTTCGACGTGAACAAATTTTTTTACTTTATCATTTTAAGAGATATCAAGTTTCGTTTTAAATAAAATTATTCTTTTCTTCTAAATCATTGGATAGTACTTAGCAAAACAAATTCAATAAATCAACAAAGACCCCGTTTGGTTCGAACGTGTAAACGGTAGCCCCATTCACGCGGTCACTGTTCTCAAGTGCCTCATGCTGAGTATTTATAGACTCTGAAAAGAAATAGCAGAGGTCTACGTGGAAACTACAGACCTAAGAAAGGTGACAGTGATCACATGAATAGGACCGCCGCGCCGCGTCGTATGGCCATTTTATTAGAAAAAATTATACTATGTACTACAAGTACACAGTAATCGGATTGTAACACTTTAGCGCGGACACCCTGCACATTATGTTTCGCGCATTAAATATTTGCCCAATATGCATCTTTTGGATATTTTACAGCTCCGAGTGGAACCGTGACCACTGTTTGTCGTAGCAACTACAAATTCCAATACTGGACGCCCCGTCAGCAATTAGCTCACCACACCGTGACCGGATGCAATATCAATCCGGGCGACTTAATGGCTTCCGGTACAATAAGTGGCGAGGTGCGTCCAAAATTTTTATCAATTCGTACCTGTCGATTGGCCGAAACGAACAACGGAATGTCACCACGAGTGTGATACGTTTCAGGCTGCTGATTCCTACGGTTCTATGCTCGAGCTATCTTGGAAAGGGACTCAAGCTGTACCGTTAAAAGACGGAACAAAACGGAAGTTCCTGGAAGATGGAGACGAAGTGATTATTCGCGGTGAGCTCGTCACTTTTGTTTAAATAATTCACATTGCGCATAGTCGCGATGTTATTGACAACTGAATTCTTTTTAGGTCACTGTGTCGGCGATGGCTATAGAATCGGATTTGGCTCGTGCTCAGGGAAACTGTTACCAGCTCTTAAGGATTAATCTTCTCTTTACCTGTTTTATGATAACGTCATAACATAAGAGTTATCATTACTTTTTGGATATTATGTAAAAATATAATAAAATGAAATAAATATTTTATAAGTAAAATCCTATTTATTTAAACTGTCCTTATTTCACCCTTTTTAATATGTGTAATGGGATAATAATGGGAAATATGGTATTTTATAATATGTATAATGACGTTCAAATGTTTCTATGCAATATGTTGTGCTGTAAAGCAAGTATCGATTTGTATAATAACAGTAGTGAATTCGATCAATAAGTACGGCAGAGCAGGTGCAAGGCAGGTAAAGCGACTAGCATGAAGACATGGCTGCTATTCTGTTGAAGTAAGTGAAACATAATTAAATTTCATTCGAGTAAAAGATTTGAATTACTTTTTGAATTATTTGAATCACCTCAGGAGTTTGCATTCATTGGAAGCGCTAGACGAACCGACTGCAAAATGGAATGTTCCCTTAAGCGACGGGAATCACGTCATAGAATTTGAACACGGCACGGCTTCAGGTCGTCGATTGGTGAAGGTGGATGGCAAAGTGTTGATTAATAGAGACTGGATGTTTCAACTCGTTGGTGACGAAGTGTTCAAATTCAACGAAAATAATTTTGTAATTAGAATAGACCCAATATCAGGTAAATAGATATGTGTATCTATTATCCATCAAAGATTAAATTAATAATAAACGAAAGACTTTTGGAACGTTGAGAACATCTTGAAAAATAAGATTTGAAACTTATTACAGGTTTGAAGTACTGTTATACCTTGTGGGTAAACGGCAAGTCTTACAAAAATTTTGTACAAACACAGTCGAAAATCTTGGACACGTGGTCGGCTGACGTTGGAAACGAGGAGTACAGAATAGTATTGGGTAATTATAGTTATGAATATTTTTAATTAATGATAAGGGTAATATACGTATATTATTTTACAGACAAGCAAACACAGAATGTTTGGGTAAATGGGGAACAAATTGAAACAGAGGTACGATGAACATATTGTTTTATATCTGAAAGATCATTGTAACAGAAATTAAATTGTATTTTAGAATGAATTTACCGATGATGGTGCAGAGATACTATTCTCAGTCGGAGATCTCCCAGCTGTGATTAGAACTCAGAGTTCAGGACAGAAAGAGATAGGCATAACATATTCCTTGTATATTAACGACGCGGAAATCCAAAGAGAAATGTTGTTCAAAGAAGATAAAGAAGCATAAATCAATTTATAACGTACCATGTTCCCACAATTTTATTTAATCGTTGTATAATACCACGCGTTACGAAAATTTGTTACACTATGTATGATATAGAATAAATTGTGATACATTCAGTGCATATTTTAGATACATGTGTATAAACGAGATTATTGCTTTATTCAGGCCATAACAGCATAGTAATACCTGTAACCCCAATCCTTATCCTATATTCTTGTTACACATTTAACAAATAAATAATTGGCAAAATGTCGATTCGGGAGAGTATATTTAGTAGTATATCGCGGATGTTCCCAAGATTCGACGAAGATATAAATTTCGATGGTACAATTACACAATAGATACAAAATCGATTGCTTCGTTTGCAATAATAATACTTCCCCACTTCTAGTGATGACTTATGACGAGTTGCAAGAGATGCACGAAGATCTTTTGCAAGAAATCTGGACGATCACACTAGAGAACGACGTATACGAACGATATCTGACTCGACAAGAGCCTCAAAGTCTCAAAAGTAAAGCACATTACAGTTTACGCGTGTGCACTACCATTGACTTTAATCGAACTTAATTGACTCGATGCACAAGAACTGCAAGTGAATTAAAATTCCTATCAAGCCATATCAAGGCTCCTAGAGAGAGCAAAGATCGGGCGGAGACTCACGCAACATTTGGGGCCAAGATCGTCGCATATGAGCTTTCGGGAAAGCGTAACAAGTCTCCACGACATAGGTCATCATAGTACTTTGAGCACGCCCAGTATGCCGTCAATATCTCGTTTTGGAACACCAAGCATAGCGACGATGGGTACAATCGGTGATACTACCAAGTTAGTGAGCCAACATAAACACATCCTTCTCCTAAAAAACTAATATGTCCTTCCCATCAATTAATATTTCATCTGACACGATTATCAGAATCACGATAGCGCATCGTATAGGAATGTCAAAGAAAGAAGTGGAGGAGATGCAAAGGAACCTAGTACAGTTCATACGGAGAGCGACGAGGAAGAAAGCCATCATGAGAGCAGAGATAGAGGAGATCGAAATTCGGTTGAAAGAGGCGCAAGAGGCAAAGGAGGAATTCGAGGAGGAAGTCGTTGTCGAAGGCGTGGATCCTATGACGGGAAAGATACCTGCCGAGCGACTGGTCAGGTAACTGCATCTGTTGCAAAGTTCAAACTAACAATCGTCGGGTATGCATTTTTTTCACGCGGGATTTCTCGCAAAGATTCGTCGAGGAATGGTTGAGATCGGCGAGCACGATAATAGAGAGGCTGAGATTGAAGAGCGCCACGGTCAGGATGCAGATCAGAAAGGCTACCAGGCAGCTCATTCAACGGGAGGAGTTGGGCGAGTCGCTCCGCGCCGTTGACTTCTATAAACTGACCATCGAGAACCAGGATTACGTAAAAATGCTCGAGGAGAAGAGCCTGTACGTAATCGACATGAAGAGGATTGCAGGTGATCGATCTTGATCAACGTGTAACATCCGTGAAGGATTGGATCTGTTCATTGTTCTCCTAATAGGACATTATCACTTGAAACTGACGCAACACAAGCAGAAACTGAACGACCTGTTGCTTACTGTGAACAAGCTGAAGGATGACATTCTGGCTAAGCAGAAACAGATCAAAGATCTGACGGGTAATTACAAAATTATGGAAGTCAATGTGAAAAGAATGGACAAAGACTTGAAATCCTTACTGAACTTTATGGAGAATCATATAGTAAATATATTTTTTCATAACATGGATTGATCAGTAGAAGAGTGTGTACAAAGGGAAATTTTTTAGGCTCCGGATATTTTGGACTTTATTCGATTGCAAGAGGAATACGCGGAACTGAAGAGAAAGTATAAACTATTGCAAAGGCGTATGAACATTGAAAAAATATTATATGAGGAATATCAAAAGCAGATACAGCAGATTATAAGGAAAACTCGTGTGGCCGGTGACGAAGACCGAGGAAGGTAAGTCAGGTGTACGAAATAAATTATATGACTTAATATAATAAGAAATTTATTAATTGACGTACGCAATGTTATTGTAGGAAAGAGCGGAGGAAAACATCCGATACGATCTACCCAATAATTTTTTAAAAGTTTCATTTATCTTCCTTGTTATATCTAAGAAATTATTTTCACTAGTCGAAAAAATCTTTGCTAGCACATAAGCGTACAATTATATCTGTAAAAAAATTACTCAGCACTGTGCCGTCACTGGTTACGCCAGCAAATAATTGGAGTTACGGTGCTTGTGTAGAAGATGAAAAATATCAGAAACAATCGTGCACTTTCCACGAAACGGATATTTTTTTAAAGCAGAAGAGGAGTTGCATGATCCACAAATGTACCAGACCGATTTCGAATCATCCATGACAGAATTTTTATGTTGTATCATATTGAACATTAAATTTCTTTTAATTTCTTCAACCTGTAACAATTGAAATAAATATACTCATTCAAATATTATAATTCTTTTTATTAGTTCATCAACTATTGTTAACAAATTATCAATGCTCCCAGATACCTAAAATAAATAAAAAGGAGTAATATTTACAACGATACGTATGAAGTATAAATACTTCGATGCTTTCTGTACGTACAAAACATATCCTATCCCACATTTATTCGTGCGTTATCAGCAAATTTGTAAACGCATTAAGATCTGAATGGAGCCGAAAATGTATGGATTTTAGCGTGTGCCACACACTACTAGCACGGTGCGTTGCGTGGTCACGCTTCACGCACCGGCGATGCCTGTCCCTTCCTCTTTTCGTCCGTGGAATATCCGTCCCGGAAGACCATGTCTCTCTTTCTGCTGTGATTCAGTTTAGCGACGACAACATCGACGTACTGAATGTTCGATTAGCCACCGATTCATACTTATCATAATGTGCCTCATATCCAAATGTTTCAAGTGATACCGTTTTCTAAGCTACAAGTATCCCTTCAACGATCTTGGTCAACATTTATTACTCAAGATCATATCAAGGATCAAGTTAAAAGTGTGGGAAAAGGGTCTACTAGTTCTAAAACGAGGTGAAAATTTAAATGATTAATGGGTCGTTGTAAAAAAAAATTATAACATTTAGTGTAGGATAAAAAGGGGATGCGTTGGTGAAATGGTGAAAATACTATGCTCGGTGGTGCACGACGAACTGATTAGCTAATATCCTGACTTTCCAATTGCACTCTGTTTCCCGTTAGAATGAGAAACGATTTCGAGAAACGTCGACGATTTTTTCAATCCATTTGAATGCTTCTTTGGGTTTATTTAAAAAATGTCAAAGATGACGTTCGTAAGAAGAGTGATCGCTATGCTGATTATCTGTTTACTCGTGCAAAGGAGTTCAAACAAATATTTGGAGGTAAGAAAGTGATATGTCAATGTTTTCTACTTCATCGTAGTTTATAAACCACGTTACCGGTATGTTTTGAAGATGATACACTTTGATAGTAGTCTGCTCGATACGCTTCGAGAGAGACTTATTATTCAGTGATGAGAATATTAGGTCAAAGTCGAATTTGAAATTGTAACTAGATCTTGAATCAGGTGCTACCATTAACAAGATTAGGAGCAGCATTCCTTGACGTAATTCTTACGCTTGAACAAGCGGATTAATAATAAATATGACAAGGACAGATAACGCTGAAAATTTTATTATTATAAAAACATGTAATATTGTACACAAAATACATAGATTTAATAAATATAATAAATTAAATTTAGGGTATAAACGTGAACTTAGGAGATGCCATGCAATTTCTTAGAGAATATGACAGTGAAGCTTCTGCGATGTGTACAAGAGTAACGACGGCACAGTGGAACTTCGCGACAAATGTCACCGAAGTAAATCGTCGAAAAATGGTATCATTAATTGAATTTGGGAAGATTATTAATAACGTACGCGCGCGCGACGCGCGTTGTTGTTCAAATAGTATCACTTCTTCGTTTGTATTATACTAGATAGAAGAACAGGCCTTGAAATTGAAATTTGATCGAATTTCGTGGCGGAAAGCCGTCAGTTTCGCTTGGAGCCGAATCGGAGATCCTTTCGCAAAAAGGGAACTGAAAATGATTGCTATAAGAGGTCGAAATTCCTTGACTGACGACAAATTCAACGAGGTAGAGTTTAAATATCATTGCATAAATACTGATAGATCGATAAGTATAGTTTTATTTTTCAGTTACACAGTCTTATTTTGGAGATGAAAGAAATATACGCAAGAACCAGATTGTGCCCTTATAGAACAATAGATGCAAATTGTAATTTAAGTTTAGATCATGGTTAGTAAAAAATATTATTTAACATTCAGTGAACTACGACTATCAAATAATCGAATGTTTCTTAGATATTAACAAAGTAATGGCAAAGTCAAAAGACTACGATGAACTGTTATATTACTGGCATGCTTGGCACGAAGCTACTGGTCCTCAGCTGAAGAATAAATATATGAGATACATTCAGTTGGCAAATCAAGCTGCCAGGCTAAACGGTAAATAAAATTAAAACAATAGTGGTAAATAAAAAATATATAGCAGTAATTAAAAAATAGTACACAATTACATCTTTAAATGAAATATGTTATCTCGCTCAGGTTTCGATGATGCTGGAGATCAAATGAGGGAGCTCTTTGAAGATGAACATTTCCAACAAAATACAGCAGATGTAATGTCAGCAGTCATGCCGTTGTACAAAAATTTGTTTACCTACGTGAGAACGAAATTATTCGAACGATACGGCGATAAAATTAGAAGGGATGGTCCGCTTCCTGCACATATCTTAGGTAATATGTGGGCTCAAACTTGGGAGGATCTTTTCGATGTGGTACAACCGTTCCCAGCAAGTAAAAGGCTCGACGTTACTTTGGAGATGATGATTCAAAGTTTCACGCCTTTAAGGTAATTTTTCATGGGAACTATTTTAGAACAGTAGATAAATAATACAAAAATGTTAAAGGATGTTCCAAATATCAGAGGAATTCTTCACTTCTCTTGGAATGAAACCGATGCCACCCGAATTCTGGAGATTCTCCATGTTCGAGAAACCCATCGACAGGGAAGTGAAATGTACTCCCAGTGCTTGGGATTTTTGTAATCGGATTGATTACAGGTATTTGCCAATGATTAATTGAAATTATATATCAATATCATGCTTAATAAAATAATGTTTTAGAATAAAACAGTGCACCAGAGTCGTGATGGAGGATCTATTATCAACGCATCACGAGATCGCACGATTACAGTATTATTTACAGTACAGAGATCAACCACTATTATTTAGAAATGAACCAATTCCAGGTAACTAAAAAAACTCATCGCATTTAAAATAATTTTTAATGAATGTACATTAACTAATTTCTATAAATTAGGATTTTTTGAAGCTGTCAGCGATGCCATTGAACTTTCCGTTTTTACGCCTCAACATATGAGTAAAATTGGGTTGTACGATAATTCTACAGATGATTATGGGAGCGACATCAACTTTTTAATGCTAATGGCTCTGCGTAAAATTGCCTACCTACCGTTTGCTTACATAGTTGACGAGGTTTTCACAATTAATTTATAATAATTACGTCATTCTCACTATAGCGTGTACAAATGTCGTTTTCAATTTAAAAGTGGAGGTGGCGTATATTCAGCGACGGTGTGACGGATATGACAAACAAGTGGTGGGAGTTAAGGTTGCAATATCAAGGAATTGTGCCTCCAGTGCCGCGATCCGAACGGGATTTTGATCCTGGCTCGAAGTATCACATCCCGGCTGATGCCCTCTACGCCAAGTAAAAACAATCATTTTAGCATATTGAATTTAAATGCTATTATTGTTGAAGTTGAGAACGCCCTAAAATTAAAATATTTATGATTTAGGTATTTCGTCGGTATTGTCATGCAATTTCAATTGTTCGAGGCTCTGTGCGAAATAGCTGGCCACACTGGCAATCTACATAACTGCGATTTCTATAGATCTCGAGAAACCGGGAGGCTATTATCGTATGTACAAACAAGTACAAAATATAATTATGACGAACGAAAATTATAAAAAAAATATTTTATTTTTTACTTTAAGTGACGTATTGTCCATCGGCTCTTCTAGACCTTGGAAAGATGTTGTTAAACAAATGACAAGAGGTAAGACGAATATGATGGACGCAGGAGCGATATTGAGGTATTTCGAGCCTCTGAATCAGTGGTTGAAACGGCAAAATGAAATGGAACCAGTTGTTGGTTGGATCACGAATCGTGACGATGCGGGTGAGCACGAAAATGAAACATCGGCTTCAACATAGCGTTAGCTACAAAATAAGCAAATAATATGTGCAATCTATAGATTTCTTACAATTTGTTTCAGCGTTATTTTTTCACTGGTACCAAAGTGGCGCTCGGAAAGAGGCATCCTACTTGTTCTTCCTATTGACTTTAATAGTTACACAGATCATAATGCAGTAATTGAGAGTGTAGATTTGTTAATGCTTAATTACAAATGACATGAATAAAAGAATAAGAGGTAGAACTAGAAAACTCTGTGAAAACGTATTATCAGTTTTCAAAATAGTTAATCGATACACCAGTAACCGATACTAGTGATGGGCACTATCGACTAATTTAAAGTATCGACTACCTAAGGAATAATCGCAACATACTATCGACTAATTAGTCGATAGTTTTTAGTCGGATGAA